ACGACAACGACGACGACGGACAATCACTCATATGATAAGCTCCGCTCGACAAAGTCGACAGCGGAGCTAAAAATGGCTACTAAATAAAATATGGCCTAGTTTATCTCTCCACATACCGGTTGATGAGGTTGAATTTCCAAGACTGTATGACTAAAAAAAACTTGGAATTCTGACTGTATATGGTAAAAAATTGGGTCAGTATGAAATAGTTATTACTGAAATTAGATAAGGATGGTGGCACGAATGAGCTCATCTATATGTCAATCAGGACTAGTTTGGATTTCCATTATCAAATATAAAATTTTGAACTTAGTAAATTAGCATATGACAGTTATATTTGGAAATCCTACTCTGTATATGGTGGCACAAAGGAACTCATCAACACCATAAGTAAGAACTATGGTTTTGGATTTCCATCACTGTATGGTGAATGGTGATTTGGAAATAAAACTTTGTATGACTTATACACCTATGGAAATTATACCCTGTATGAAGTAAACACACAAGCTCATCAATAGGGGGTGTGCAGATATAAACTGGAATGGCCCATTGTCAATAAATGCTGACTTACCTGCCCCATGTGTCTGTTCCATCACACGTAATTGGTCTTAGTTCATCAAGTGGATACGCATGTTGTAAATAGTTATCATATGCAAACATGAACATTGATTTAGTTTTTTCCCTTTAAGAAAAAAATAAAATTATAATTAACAAGTCATTGAAAATGACACAGTCCCCGTTAAATTAAGTTCTCTTTGTGCTCGTCATATTAAAGCGGAGGGGTTGTAGCGAGCGTGTCTTTGAAACTTAAGTTCCAAGTGGCGTATACAACAGATTGTTTATTTACATCAAAACATGTGTTTCTTGTAGTAGTAATATGGCCAAAAATAAAAACAGCCGTTATTCGGCCATCTTTGACCAGATTTTGAAACAAATTGTCATGGACATGCATCCTAACATGTATAAAGTACATGTATGTGCCAAATTTGAATGAAAACTGACAGAGCACCTCCAAGATACCACATAAAAAAAAAAAAAAAAAAATGCCTGCCAGTCGACCATCTTTGATCCAATTGCGAAATAAATCGTCATGGACATGTATAATCTACCAAGTTTAAATGACAACTGACAAAGCATGTCCAAAATACAACATTTTCAAAAAACAAGATGGCTGCCAGTCGGCCATTTTGAATCGAATTGCTAAACCATTGCATGTGCATATGTTCCACATAAGGTACTAGGCACATGCAAAGAATGAACGGAATCGGTCTGCAGGATTCTGAAATATGACTCTGGACAGACTGAGGGACGGACGTACACATGGTCGGATGGACAGACTCAGGAACTCACGGACGGTCGAGGACATGTATCCTAACATGTATGATCTATGTACTAAATTTGAATGAAAACTGACAAAGCATGTTCAAAATACGACATTTTCAAAAAATAAGATGGCTGCCAGTCGGCCATTTTGAATCGAATCGCTAAACCACTGCATGTGCATATGTCTCACATAAAGTACTAGGCACATGCAAAGAATGAACGGAATCGGTCCAAGGGATTCTGAGATATGACTCCGGATGGACGCACGGACGCACAGACGCACGGATGCACAGACGCACGGATGGACGGAGACCGAATTATAATAATAAAAATAATAAATAAAAAATTCATATAAAAATACAGATTCACAAAAATGCCATTTTCGATTCTGAACAAATTGCTAAAATTTAAATAGCGACTATGATATCAACTAGTTCTTCTTCTTCTGATTCTAAAGCAAACACAGTCAACACAAAAATGTACTATATATTGAAAAATATCAGGATCAATGCTTTCTATACAAATGTATAGGTTTGATAGGTTTTGGCCAATAACGATCTGGTTACAATTTTCTAGCAAAAAGACACATTATTCAGGTTGAAACATATTCTTTTTTGTTTTGTTTTTTAAAATTTGCTATTTATATTTAATTTGTATATATTTTACTGATAATAAAACAACATGTATCGGTATATTCATCGTTGATTGAGTATATGCCAAATAAAAAAAAAAAATATTCTAAAATTGGTTATTAAAAACAATTAAGCTATTATTTGTATTAAAAATTATGTTTTTCAAGTTTCTTTTTTAATTGACAGAGTGTACTTTCAAATGCTGAAGTCAAAATAACATACAATGGCAGTAAGTTGGTGAAAATTCATCTTTTTAAGGGAGAAGCAAGACAACCTAACCTCACTAGTATCTGCAAAAATAAATAACACAAGTTTAATCTGTGTGCGTATAGGTTTCAAAGATTAACTCAAGACAATGCAATCTTTATTCACCACCACTGGTAATGTTGATATCTCTTTTGTTCAAGTGAGTACAAACAATTCATATTTTTTCGGTACTGGTTATACTAGCTATTTGGTAAATCACATGGAATTATTCCATGTTTATTTTTTCATCAGTAATTATGTCAAATCATACTATTTTCAAAGATGTTGGTGTTTGTTAGCTTGGTAAACCAATGTTTAAGCTGTTATTTCAAATTTTTAAACTTTCTGAAAATCACCTGGGACCAGAAATTGCTGCGTACACTTGTTTTGGGTCAGCATCTTTTTCACCCATTAAAACATCTGCTGTTCAATATTATCATGTATTTGCAGACCAAGCTATTTAAAATGCCAAAAAATGACCATGCCCACGTTGTGATTTTTGATTGGCCAATAGACTCCAGGTAAGAAAAAAAAAATGAACGTCAATCAGTCACGCTTTTTTAGCCACACGAATCTGCTCATGCTTTTTGTTTTACAATCCTGTGCCTACAGCCACAAGGTTACCAGTTTATGACTGCCATATGTAGGCATACTGCAATGTGTTACAGCAATGAGTGATAGAAACACTTAGTTGATATAGGCACTGCTCTTGTTTGTTTCACAGATTAGTCATTTGCATATCAATATGTTGGAAACAAGGTCATACTACCACTTTGGAAACAAGCAATTTTGGCATTTTCAACTGCTGATCACAGTGATAGAGTTACTGTGTACTGATTTACCAAATTAGAGCTCGCCTAGTTCCTTTAAGTTTCCAATTGCTTCTTAATATCTTTCAATGGCCCTACAAAAGTTATAAGAGATTTTTAAGTAAAAACAACCAGCTGGAGTCAATAAACAGGCTTGAAAATCATAGCCTGGACTTCATCAATGTTTTCTAGGAGTTTGCATTTTTCAAAGGATTTTTTCAACATGTTATAATTTAGTTGGGGACAATGTTAATCTTGAAAACGCAATGCATGCATACATCTGTTGAGGTGCATTCAATTAACAGTTACAGTCTACTGAACTACTAGTACTGGGAAACATGAAAAACCAGCTTCTTAGCACAAGCACAATTGCGTAATTTATTGTTTTCAGAAATAGTGATATTTTATAAATGAGCATGTCATGTACGTTTCACAAAACATAGATACAGACATAACAAACACATTTTTAAAAAGCTTGAACCATGGCGATTTTGAAAATATTATTGGGTCTTTTTGTAGCACATTTGGTAGATGAAAACATGTATGCAAATAATACTCTTGCTACCTTAATTGTAGTTAATACGACAATAATATTAAAGCACAGACGGATGATCTTAAATTTTACCTAAACCGGGACAAAAAACGCTCTTTTATTGAAAGTTGTACTCCCCATAGAGAGATGATGTATTCATGAAATATGTATAAATATATTATATACCCGACTGACAGCATCAAAAATTATTCCTAAAACAAGACTACATACCCTCTGAATTGAGTATTCAGTACGTTCAATTTACTGCATATTAAACTGAACATGTACACTCTACTTTTTGCAATCTAAGAAATTATAGTTAAAGAATTCCCCAGATGTACATGTAGTGTCACAATTAATGTACATAACTAGATATTCTTGATACTGAAATAATAAATAAATAAAGTACTGCAGCTGCTGAATTGCTTCCATTCAATTGGAATGTTTTTTCTATTGAAACACAGACCCTCTAGAGGGACTATGATTTAAGTCAGTATGCGTATGAATATTTTTTCCAACATAATTTTAATAATTTCAAAAGATCAAGGAAGTACGTTATATATTTTAATTAATTTATTTATTAAGAAAGTAATTATGTGAAATTAATAAATCACTAATTTTACAGTTTGGCAGAATTAGTTACCTGTATATGCAAGAAATTAATAAAATCTTACAATCCCCCGTCTCAGCCTAGCACACTATTGCATTGTTCACATATGTAGCAAAATGCAGGGTTCTACTTAGAGTTAATTTTAATCTATTGTTGAAGACCATGTGTGAACCAATTAACCTGCTATCTAGTTCAGCTTGACCTTGAGTTCTGTGTTCAACCCCCTGAGATGAGAAACATTTGATCAAGGCCTTGGGGATTGAAACAATGCCCTCTTGTAGTGACTCAATAGGTAAATAGGACTGGGATACATGTAGGTATGAACTTCAAGTTAAATATAAACCAATGAAACATATAGGTGTGAAAAGAATGCTGGTTTAGCCCACTCATAAGAAATATCAGTAACAAGCAACCTGATGGTCGAAATAGCTCTGTTGAAGATATCCTCCTGAAATTAACAAATTCTGACAGAGATCCATCCAAGGAACCTACATACCAAGTATCAAAGCAATTGAAGTGGTAGTTTTAAGAAGAAGTCGAAAATAGCATTATTTACCAAAAACGACAAAAATATTCAACAAGAATAGGAAATTGAAGATATTTTCACGAAATGAACATATCTTACAGAGGTCCACCTAAGTAACCTATATACCAAGCATCAAAGCAATTGAGCTGGTAGTTTTCAAGAAGGGATCGAAAATAGCATTTTTTTACCAAAAATGCCAAAAATATTTGTCAAAAATAGAAAATTGAAGATATCCTCAAAAAATGAACAAATCTAACAGAGGTTCATCCAAGTAACCTACATTGTATATACAAAGTATCAAAACAATTGAGCTGGTAGTTTTAAGAAGAAGTTGAAAATAGCATTTTTTACCATAAATATTTGCCAAAAGAAGTCAAAAATGCAATTGTTGACGGACAATCACCTATAGAAACAGCTCCGCTCTATGAAAGTGAGTCATCTACTAAAACGATTTCTTTTTTTTTCACATCTAGAGTAGTTTGTTTTATGATGAGGTTTATGTACATATAAAGAGGTAAACATTATGAAAAAAATATTACAAAACAATTTCTTTTATTATATTGCAAGCAAACTATCACAAATCAACCCACCATAACACAGACATGTGTATCCCAGTCTCTTTTGTAGTGTATCTCAAAGTATTTTTGCATACCAACCATTACGTCAACGCTTGTGGCAATTTATTTTAATTTTGTAAACCCATTATTATCAATTGACTGACTAATTAAAAATGAGTATTAATCCTAATTAAATTAAGAAAACACAACTGTTACAGTGTAATTTGTTGGAAAGGGTATAGCCAGTTCAATCAATGGTTGAATATCAATTAGACTGTACAACTGTAAGATCATTTAAGTACAGTTGATTGACACTGAGACTGAATACGATTTGGTCAAACATATTTCATTGATTTGCATCAAATGGTCTGCAAATTATGTAAAAAAAATATTCTAGTTTATAAATAATTAGAATCCATTTAAAGCTGATTGGAGAATAATTA